CAAGGAATCAAAGCATTCAAAGCTTAAATTCAATTTAGTGGGGATGATATCATTCAAGATATAAAGACAATTTAGTGGGAATGATGGCATTCAAGAGTTAAATTCAATTTACTGGGAATGATGGCATTGAAGTGTTAAACTCAATATAGTAGGAATGATGGCATTCAAAGGTTAAATTCAATTTAGTGGAAATCATGGCATTCAAGGATTAAATTCAATTTACAAGGAATCAAAGCATTCAAAGCTTAAATTCAATTTAGTGGGGATGATATCATTCAAGATATAAAGACAATTTAGTGGGAATGATGGCATTCAAGAGTTAAATTCAATTGACTGGGAATGATGGCATTCAATTTAGTGGGAATTATAGCATTCAAGGGCTAAATTCAATTTAGTAGGAATGATGGCATTGAAGTGAAACTCAATATAGTAGGAATGATGGCATTCAAAGGTTAAATTCAATTTAGTGGGAATCATGGCATTCAAGGGTTAAATTCAATTTACTGGGAATGATGGCATTCAAGGATTAAATTCAATTTAGTGGGAATCGTAGCATTCAAGGGATAAATTCAATTTACTGGGAATGATGGCATTCAAAAGTTAAATTCAATTGACTGGGAATGATGGCATTTAATTTAGTGGGAATTATAGCATGCAAGGGCTAAATTCAATTTAGTAAGAATGATGGCATTCAATGGATAAATTCAATATAGTGGGAATGATGGCATTCAAGTGTTAAATTCAATTTGCTGGGAATAATGGCATTCAAGGGTTAAATTCAATTTACTGGGAATGATGGCATTCAAGGATTAAATTCAATTTAGTGGGAATCGTAGCATTCAAGGGATAAATTCAATTTACTGGGAATGATGGCTTTCAAGGGTTAAATTTAATTTACTGGGAATGATGGCATTCAAGGGTTAAATTCAATTTACTGGGAATGATGGCATTCAAGGGTTAAATTCAATTTACTGGGAATGATGGCATTCAGGGTTAAATTCAATTTAGTGGGGATCATGGCATTCAAGGGTTAAATTCAATTTAGTGGGGATCATGGCATTCAAGGGTTAAATTCAATTTACTGGGAATGATGGCATTCAAGAAATAAAGTCAATTTAGTGGGAATGATGGCATTCAAGGGTTAAATTCAATTTAATGAGAATTAAGGGTTAAATTCAATTTAGTGGGAATGATGGCATTCAAGGGTTAAATTTAATTTACTGTGAATGATGGCATTCCAGGGATAAACTCAATTTACTGGGAATGATGGCATTAGTACTTACTTGTCCGATTCTTTTCACTATAGGATTTGTTAGGTCAGGTTCAAATGGAAATAAATCTGTTGATTCTAAGTTATCAAAATTGACCATTACATAATTACATGTATGTGCCACACAGATAAAATAACTGTCCATATCCTAATAAAACAAGAAATAATATAAGCATAACTTTTCCTTCACTTCAACAAAGAATGCAGATTATATGATCAATATGCACTAAAACTAAATAATCATATTGTATGCCATTAGTCCTCTCGGATTAATCACCATGACAACCTGTTGTACTTCACATTTTCCCTTACAGTCAACATACTATGGTCTTATGTATATGCCTTGAATATAACAATCAGAAAATTGAAAAATGTGTTGCTTACCAGCGTAATTGGGATATCTACAGTTGTTATGTCTTTATTTAAAATCATTTTATCTTCAGTGACAGTGTATAACTGAATTAATCTTTTTTTTGTTGCCACACAGACCTGTAACATATATTACAACATACATCATTATAAAGCAACACTATACAATACTATTAAATAAGCAAAGAAACTAGCTTGCTTTGAATAATTTTATTTGTTGTGGTCATAATAGCTAGTGACACACCTAATTTACACTTTACATTTTCCAGTATAAACACAAGATTTG